GCTACTACTACTACTACTACTACTACTACTACTACTACTACTACTACTACTACTACTACTACTACTACTACTACTACTACTACTACTATTAATATTACTACTATTTGTACTACAGCTACTGTTATATCTGGAGGTGAATAGAAAGGATATATTTTGAACTTATGGAGTAAGAGATATGACTTATTTTTTCTAACAAGGTCTTTCCTTATTCTTCATCCTGGTATCTAATGAGAGTGCAGCTTTCGACTGATCTTCATTCTGTTCTCTTAGAGGAAAAGTCAGAATTGGTATAAATGAACAAATGAAAGCAATTATTTGTTAGCTAGAAAGCAAAATATGTCTAATATAAACAGAAAAGACATTTAGAATCTAGCTACTTTGTTCTAAAATTTCTTCAGAATTACCAGAGAATGTAAAATGGAAATTTCTTATAAACTTTGCTTTGGAGATTTTTGGACCACATGCTTTTTTTTATGGTTTCTACATTCAAGATAAGTAATCCTGTAATGTCTAAATGGATGTCAATGATGGTGTTTTAAAATTAATTATAGGCTCTTCTCTTTCACCAGGATATATTGTGTTGACTTTGATTATATGTTTTTAGTCAAAGAAAACAGCTGGCCCCCTAGTTTTGTGATTAGTGCTCTTCTGCTTTTGTTGTGGAGCAATTAATTTTTTTGTAGTTTCATTGAAATGCTGACTTTAATTCCTTTTTATGCCATATTTATTATTTTGGTTTATTCATATTTTTTTTAGAATTTTTTTTCAAACATGGTTAAACTTTCATACTTTTGGAGGTGCATTAGGCATTATTTTGAAATTAAGGATTTACTTTTACACTAAACATATTAGCATAACAAATTTATTAGTAATTTTGAAAGTTTCATTGTATTATGTGTTTCTGCATTTTAATATTTTAATTTTTAACTGGAGGGAGGGCAGTCTCACATGCGAAGACTAGCTATCTGTTAACATAGTTAACAGTAGTTTTGCAGCAGTCCTTTCTGAGTCCTTTTTGTTTGTAGTTATAAAACTGAAGCCCATGTATACATCCTAAATTTTCCTTCCATAGGTTCTGTTCCGTTATGCATTAGCCATATTCAAGCTATGTGAAGATGGAGTTATGGAGAGATGCGACTACATGGAGATATTTTCCTACCTGCGTTCTGTCCCAGAGCCCATCACAGACATCCCCAGACTACAGGAGGTAAGTACAGTACTCCTGAACTGATCTTTGGTAATATTGCAGGGTATATATTGTACTTTTTATGTCTATTCATCCTTTCCTCTTTCTATGTGGATATTCAGATTTTTGGAATGGGGTCTGGTCCTTATGGGGTGTACTTCTGTGTCTAGTTGGTGATTACAGAAGCTGCAACTAAATGCCTTAGATTAGATAAAATGAATTGATATATTACAGCGAATGTGGGATATTTAACTAATGGTAATTTGGGTTAAATAGTTGAATTGGTCGACTTTTCTTAAACTTCTTCAAAACCTTGATCTGCAACGGTGAAGAGGATTTTTTTTTATAGATCTGTTGACAATTTAAACCAATAAAAGGATTATATTGAATGAATTGTTTTTCAACATTATTAATTCCTACAAAAGTATGCTATGATATATAATGTACTAAAAGCTATTTAGCTTGTAATTATCTTGATAATATACCAAATGCATTTTGGATTTGCAGAAATTTTAACTTAATAGAGTAAATGCATTTTTGGTAAAGTTGAATTTCCCTGAGATGACAAAGACATCCATACATTGTTAATGTTTATATTAAAGTTTTTCTTTATATTTTGTTTTATGTCTTATGACATATTTGTAGGGAAATTGAGGAGGAGATTAAATATATAAAATCTTTGTTGAATATTGCTTTGTTATTTTTAGATTAACTTCAGTTTTGATTTGTATATTTCTTTAGATCTGGACTTTTTTGTCATGTTTATTTTTTTACCTTTTGTATTTATCTTTGTATTTATGTTGTTTTTTCATTCTTTTTTCCTTTGATCTTGTCATTTTCTTTTCCTTTTGTTTTTCTCCTCTTTAGGTGTAATAACACAGTGATAATGAAAGACACTTTATTGCTCCAAAGGTTTGACATATCATCACTGATTGATGTAAATACAAATCATTTTTTTTTTCTTTTTTTATGTGTGTTATGCCAAAACTAGAGAGGAGCTTTTAAAACACTGGCTTCTACTGAATGCATTACGATAAACCAAAGCCCAAACTTTTAACCCAACCTTGAAGTGTCTACGATATACCCAGCAGTTTAGCAAATTGTAGTAGGTTGTCATCCTTCTTCTCAGCTGACCTTCAGAATAGGAAATTGGCTTCATAAATACGTTTGTTGTTGTTTGGATTGTTTGTTTGTTTTCAATGATGAAAAGGTTAAGTAAAAAGTTTACACCACTTTGGAGTATCTGTGTATTCTATCAAACAGACTTCAAAGTCTAGGCAGACATGAATAGCACAACAAGAACATTTTACGCCA